TAAGGGGGTCAGTGGCCCGCAGCTTCGACTATGCTGGCCTGCTGAGATCGTAGTGGCTGCAGTTAATACTCAAACTTACGCACGAAGAATGTTCAGGTATTTGTTTATCATTCATTTCGCGTGGAGTTGCATATTCACCATGTTTGCACGCTTTTCTTCATTTGGTACCGATGTTGATTGACGCCTTATATCAATACATATATTTTTAAACACCGTAGTGTTAAGCCTCCACGGCACAGAACATTACGTAAAATAACAGAGGCAACATGTCACGTCACATCAATGTAACCTAAACTAGTGAAATCCAGCTTTGACTGAAGTTAGTGTTCCTGTTTTCGAGCCAACACTGTAATAATACACATACATTTTTATGTATTCATTTGCTTAAATTTATATCTTAAGATTCGCTTATTAAATCCTTTTGTTTTGAGAAATTAATTTTTTTAAACATAAAATTCTTTACAATGATTTATATCATTATTGTATTATCTGTTCAGTTTATTAAGGTTTTTATTATTATACTTTATATAAGAAGTATATTTCCTTTCATTCATGGGTCTGAAAAAAAACGATCAATATTTTAGCAGACAAAAAATTAAAGATATTATTTCTATAAACTCTGAGCTGGAGATCAGTCAAAAATAATTTATGCTAATGGATAATCATATATTTCGAAGAATAATTAATATTATATGTATGTATTTTAAATATTTAAATATTAAATAATTTAAATTTCTAAGCAAAATATATTTTATAAATGATTAAAAATAGTTCTCTCTCTCCTCACTTACATTTATCGAAGATATAATGTATATATATTGTTTGACGAAATCATTTTAATTTATTTACAAAATCAACATTTCTACTTTACATAAGATCCATTCAAGCAATTAATATAAAAATATTACAAAAACGTTTATATATATATATAAACATTTATACCAAAAACAACAATATAAATGATAAGCTGCTAATTACCATTCTCAGCAAAAAATGTATATTTCAAGTTGTCGTATCGTTCGATTGTTTAAGAATAAAACAATAACAATCCATGATTCATCATAGATTGTGTAAATCAATAAAATAAATTGGCTTTCCATAATTTCTGACAATATTAAAAATTCTGAAAAAAAAATTTCAAAACATTATTAGTGGGTCTGATTTGGAACGATTCAAGGCAATCTTATCGAATAATGATTAAACTAAAAATATTTAAAAAATTACAAATATTAATAATTCTTTATGGCGTGATTTTTAAAGCCTTAAAATTATTTTTGTCTAATCAGTATTAAATTCTTTCAAAATAACATAAAAATTTATCGCTTTTATCAGAGAGAAAAAGTTAATAAACCTTATCTGAGTATTATTTTTTATCAAAATGTATCTACACATAAACGCCTAGGAAAATGTGATAATTAACTTGCGGTATGTACTCAATAGAGACGTCATCAAAATTTGCATATAACTAATTTATGTTAATTACTGATGAAAAATGATTATATGAAACAAAATTTATTAAATTGATCACTTTCAGATTTAATAAATTTAATATTCTGCTTAAACAATTTATGTAAACAAAAATACAAAAAATTTTAAATCTAAGTTTAAGGTTGAAGGGGTAAAAAGTTTAATTGTCAAAACCTTGTGTATGTCTTAAATAAAAAATCCCCAATGTGAAAATAAATAAATTAATGTCCAAAAGGCTACACCAATCCATCAAAAGAGATCATAATGCCAAATTAAAATATTATAAAAGTTCAAGTTTATTATCCAAGTGAAACTTACTAAAATGAGGTTATTTTTAAATTTAATTTAATAGAAATTATTATGGATATTACTCTAATTATTGCAATAATGAAGAAACACTAATGTAAATTACTCTTCACACGACAAACCAAAAACTTATAACGCTAAGAAGTCTTAAGTTTGTTGATCACACTGAGTTTTTGTTATTAAAGTTACTGCGATTACTAGTTAAGGCGAAGTATTTGAATAAGAGGGGATCAAGGTGTATGCATGCGTCTCAGAAAGCCTCTCTGCACAAATGTCATCCTCAACCTTTTCGTGGTGATCCCTGTTTTAAGCATATGAGGCAATGTCGACCGAGTGTTCAGCGGTATAACTATTTCACAGCAACTGGTTCTTGGGGGAAATACCAATTGCTACATGAAGACTGGGCCAGATTCGGAGGTCTGTGATCTAACAACCTTTATAGAAGGTAGCAAACATATCACCGAAATAGGGTGCTTTGGTCTAATCAGCCATTGTAATTGACATTCAAATGATTCGTCGTCTGGAAAGCATATGTGAATGACTAAGTTCTTGAATTGTGATTATAAGACTAAGAATAAGAAGATCTGATAAAAATTTTTGTCCTACACCACTATGTATGTCCACATTATACATATTAAAAACATCACCGCAACACCAGACACATGTGCATCATCAACAACAGACACATATGCATCTTCCACAATTTAAAAGGATTAACCATTTAATAGCAACTTTCTTTAATAGCAATTAACTTAAATCTTCTTAGCGTAAGAAAACTTCAGATTGCCGTGTGAACAGCTTGTTTAGCAAAAAAGGTTGTAGAATAGTTTGAACACAATAAAGACTTATATAAAACTGTATATTTGAAGAGCAGTTAATTTTTGCCGTATGAAGTACGTTCAACGTCCGCAATTGCAGGTTATTACTTGATAAGTCGACACACTACTAAATTGGATACCACACGTAGAGACTTCTGTAGAAGCTGTCAGAATTTGTCCAAGAAGAAGAATCGATGGAATGTATAATGTGTCACTATTTAGCTCTTTCCACACAAAGAGTTAACTACTTAGAAGATTTCTATTTCGAAACAGTCTAACAGTCTGAGCAATAAAAATTTATGTAGACCTTGTGAACAATAATTGGAATCGAAAAAGACTTTCATACAAATTCATTATTATTTTAAAATTCCATTAATCAAGTCAGAATTCGAAAGAATATTTATTTAAAAATCATTATTATCATTAATAATTACATTCTATTACTATCTATAATAATCCGGTGTGAATCGGATATTTCTATATACTGTTAATGTCATACTTTTAAATATTTATAATAAACTCGTGGATTCTTGATCTTTCTCTTACCCTCGACCTATCTTATTTACGAATAAACTGGTGAAGATTAAGTTTTGAAATGTAACGGCTAAAAAACAATGAATAGCTCCATTTACTGTCTGGTGTGATCGTAGCTGAAAGTACTGGATTTCATTGAACATACTCCAAATCTAACATTGAAATTGAACATTTAATATATTAGAAAATATTTAAGCTACTCGAAAATATACGAGCTGTCTGATAAGTTGATCTGTACCTGCGCGAAATCCTTGAGTATATGCATACTCAAAAATCATAATGCTTGAAGTTTTGAACTGCTAAATAATGACTTTATTTGTTTGATCTATTTTATTTTATAAGAAAGCATTTTATTTTAACAGGAAATCTTACGAAAATGATTAGATTCATACTTCATATAAATATAAATGAAGATTTATTCCATGGTAACTATACTTTGAATTCTATTCTGTTCTCACAGTCAATTTGTCAATAGATCATAAAAATAATGGAAGGTACGTTCAATTGTAAAAAAGTTTTTATTTTTTCATACAATTTTTCATTAAATTGAAAAATTGGTAATCATTCATGCTTCACCAATATTTATTCTATATATTTATTTTGAAATTATGTTGAAAATATCACATAGTTCATTAAGAAAGACCATAGTAATAAATTACAGTTACAGTTAAATTAACCAAAGTCGCATTACTTTGATGAGTGTGACCGTCATCTCCACACCATTCCCCTTTATAACCGCGGCTTTCATACTCTAGTCACAAAATTTATCGCTAGTCTCACCTGAGCATATGAGCTTTAACCCCACCACCTTCACGATCACCCAATCACCTTAATTTACGCCCCTGCTTTCTGGCTTAGATTAACCTAGCTCGTTAGATATTAAGCCTATATGTTCACATCTTTCTCCTCTGACCACTAGAAAGAAGTTTCCTCAATGCTGTGAAAATCTTCTTCATTCATTCCTAAGAGGTGGTTTCAAGTCTCACACTGTGACTTTCAATGTTTTCCAACTATAGCAAAAAAAACAATCGAAAAAAATTCGAGTTTATAACTATACAATAACTATAGTACAATCCATATTCCATCCAATCATTTCTTTTGAACTGAGCACCATTGGAGTTTACAACAGACTAAGTTGTATTAGAGTTCGTGGATTAATACCATTGGAGTTTACAACAGACTAAGTTGTATTAGAGTTCGTGGATTAATACTGGTAACATGTCAAAGTAATGTATGATAAAAATTTTATATAGGAAATAATCGCTAAATTATTACCAATTTAATAATTTGATTATTATTATGCCAACAAAGTTATACGAACTAAATCACGTAATGAAACATATATAAATCCCACAAACAATATTTATATCCAAAAAGTAAACTCTTCTATTTACTAAGTTGCATCGGCACCCTATTTTAATTATATATATATAAAGGGATATATGGTAAAAACATTTAACAAAAATAATTTTAATTTATATAATTGGATTTTTGTTTTTGACTGATCATATAACTGTTCTTAATAGTGCCAAAAATTCTTCACGAACGCCGTTTTGGGTTTCTATAATTCAAATATTGTTTTATTTCATTTACTTAAAAATATATATTCAAAGCTTTATTAAACAATTATTTTATTAGTATTTAAATTAACGTTCTAGTTGTTAAGTAGTTTCGGTTATTATAGCATTTTTATAACATTTAAATGATTACTGCTTTTATTCGCTTTACATTAACTAATTTTTAGTAATAAATTCGAATCCTAACTCTACAAAAATTTAAAAAATCAATTATTTCGTTTATTCAAAAATAAAAAACTAATTGATTTTAAATGTTTGCATATGATTAGTTTTTTTTAATGAAAACAATTATTAATTAAAAGTAGAACGGAAATTTATTAATTTTTTTCTCTTCTAAATATGAAATAAATATTTGTAATTTTTGTGTGTTCATAAAAAATGTAGATATCAACAGCAATAAGCCAACAGCTTCAGTGCCAGCAGCAGAAGCATTTAAAACATATGATTTTAACTTCTTAAAAAAAAACATAATATGTAATTATATTAATAACTTTTAATCGGCAAGGAATTGCTGTTGACAAATTTTCTGTTAAACAAAGTAGAAATGCATTTTATTATGAAGCAAACGAATGAGTTTCCGCATGTCTTTGTTTTATTTGTATTATCGATTACAGTCGAACTAAAATTTTTATGGTATCATCAATCAGTAGGATCACTAAAACACAACAAAAAAAAAAGTTAAAACATAAATATTTAGTTAATGATTTTAATTTATATTTACCTTGAAAAAGGCTTTGCAGGCTGTGAATCATCATCTTGAATAGTAATAAATTTCTTAAGATACTAAAAACGAAAACAAATAAATATTTTAATTACAAAATTTAATATAAAAAATTAAGTTTGAATTACCAATGGATTTAATTCAATTTCTTCTTCCATTTCGGTAATTTTGTTTAGTAATCTATTGGTGTGAGCAATATCTTGTTGTATTTTAAGGAACATATCTTCTGAATTGTATTTTTCAGAGTCCTCTCTAAACTCCACCATACCTTCTTTTTGATCAATAAGCGCAAAAATTTCACCAGCACTAATCTATAAATAAATTCAAAAATTAAATATTGTTTTTAGTGAAATGCTATCTATTCTCAATTATAGATTTACCATTTTAACTAGGAATTTTTCTGCTTCAGCTGCTGACGGCAGTTGAACTCGGTTGGCTATGTCTGTTAGTGATACTGTTAAAAATGTTTTAGTTAAACGCTTGATGTTTTGTTTGTATAAGGATTCAGCAACCTGAGTAAATAAATTAGAATTGTTTAATAATTTGTATTATGTTAACAAATACTTTACGCTAACTACTACAACATATATTTTATATATGATATTAACTACTATATTTAAGTAACAATAAAATTTAACAGTGATCTTAAACGTTAAAATTAAAATAAAAACAACTAATAATAAAAGCGAAAATTCGACATATGATGCCGTCCATAGTAGGAAGTTCTTAGCTTATAATAATTTTATAACACATTTAACATATTAAAATATGTTATTTAATATATAATTATATAGTAATGAATTTTAATAACAAAATTTTTTATTTTTAAATAATTGAATCAGAGCCAGTTCAAGAGCCAACTATATCAAAGCCATACTTGACTTATATTATTCTAACATATATTGAAGATATATTCAGATTCACACATAAGAATAAATTATTAAATTAAAATTTAATTATTAAATCAAAACTATACGTTATTTTTAAAATATATTTAACGCTATAAACAAAAATATTAAAATACCTCTACTGCCGTTTTAATGTAAAATATCCTAATAAGTTAATAATTGTATTTACCTGCTGAACTAAGCCCATATTTTTATCACGTACAAATGTTTCACTAGATTTACTTATGACACTCCTAAATTCGTCCATGTACGTTGTACCGTATGCCACAACTAACTCATGATAAGCTGGACTGAGTGGTTTTAAATAGCGCCCAACAACTTGTGTTGCATATTTTGGTATTTGCAATAACTAAAAAAATTAATTACATTAAATAATTTAAAAAAATACATAAATTTCAATATTTAAATTATACATACACATCCGTTCACAATTAATGAAACCAATATAAATTTTTTGTACGCTTCCAGCATAATGTGCGACATAGCCAAGGCAGGAGTCGATATGCACACTTCGAAGAAGTATAAGGCGCGTTCATATCTTTTAATGGCAGTGTAAATCATGCCACCGTAATAATAATAAAGCAAAAAATATTTTGAATCCAAATTTGTATCCTATTAAATAAAATAAAACAAAAATAAAATCATGATGTTAATAATTATTTAGTAAAATTATATAAATGCATATCTTATAATACATACTGTTGCAGTGGATGCTCTAGTCTCTAAACCGGTGGATATAGTGGCTATGTCGATGTCTAAGAATGTAACCGCACACGTCATACTCTTTGCTTTTAAACTTAGTTGACAAAGATCAGCATGTACAGGTGTCAACTGAGTTTCCGACATGCGGATTTTCTTAATAGCTTTCGCTAAATATTGAACACCTTGCAAACAAAATTGTTTATCAACAACAAAATTTGTAAATTGATGGCATAAGTCATAAACTGAAATATCGCAATGAAAATAGTTAAATAATATATCACATTATTAAAAATTTATAATTAATATTTGCTTGATTAACTTACACGCGTGCACTGCATATCTCACTTGTGTCACATTACATTCAGTAACAAAATCTTTAAATAACAAAACTAAAGTTGATGCATCCACATTAGAGTTTTGCTAGAAATGTATTATGTAGTTTATATTATTAATGGATATTTTTGTTATTACCGATACACTATTAAATTTTGCAATCACGACATAGAGCACACCAAGCGAATGTTCTTGACTGTCCAGCGTTTCCAATACATTGTCTAGGATACTCCAGTTCTTCGTTAGCAACTCAACTGTGTCATTTAAATAATCCGCAAGCTCACGATATTTTTCTATAAAACAAAAAGGCATGTTATTAATAATAATCAAATAGCCGGGACGCGCCTGTCTAGTCGGTGTTTAGAATGTTTCCCCTCCACTTACCGGCAGAACTTAATTTCCTAACATTGGTAACATAATTTTCTAAAGCGCTGGCCATTGCTTCGCTATGCGGAAATACTTGCTTAAATTTTCGCTTCGACAATTTTGGTAATAATCATATAATTTACAGGGAACACAAATATTTTACTGACACTTCGTGCTGACAGATTCTCATTCGAAATGCGAAATTAAACGATACTCGAAATTTTGACATTTGAAGTTTCGCGTTGCCAACGCTTAAAAATTTAATTTATAATTAGTAAATGATGAACTTTTATGATTTAGCATTTATCTCTCATGCATTTATAACAAAAAAAGAGCTTTTCTATTTGCATTTATATTACTGTTGCTGGTTGTTCTTGTAGTTATATATACCAAAAATTATAATTGCAATATAATGTCATTATGAATGTTCCTAAATTTTTAGAGCTATTACGCAAGTGGGCAGTCTCCAGGTTCGCAACAACAATTTACTTTGCGAAACAACAAAATAGATTTGGTTAGTGTAGAATTAACAGAAATCTTTACATTTCTGTTAAGGCATGGAAGAACAGAATATGCATTTGATAGTTATTGCTTTAAGGGATTTCAATTGCTCACCGATCAGTTTTCCTTAAAATTTATGAATGATAACAGACATGTTTTACATAACTAACGCAATGCAAAAACAAATAATGTATGTTATATTGAAGCAAATCCATACAGAGTTCTTAGCATGCGTACGAAGGTAGTTAGAGACGAAAAATAGTTGTTTGATACTGTGTGAACGGAAAAACACCATCAACACGTCTTTATTCTAATTACACATTTACTAAATGATTTCGTATGCGTAGGTAAGTGAGGAAATATTTTTAAAGTTAATGCATAATCTTTGCTTTTGTATATATGTTTGTGAAATATATGTTTGTAGATCATCATATAAAATCATATAATATAGATTGATCATATAAAATTTATAATAAGTTTTTTTAAATAATAACTAAAAATTTTAGCACAAAACTTATTAATAATTTATTTAGTGTGTTTATTTGTTTATATTTAACAATCCAGGTTTTCATAATAATATTAGCAATGTATTAAAATATGTAACAATTGTTTAAATGAAAATCCGAAACGATAACGCTAAATCAATTTTATTTTTATATATAATAAATAAATTTTTTTGCTATCCATTATGACAGAGCCTTTAACAAAATTTGCAAATAACAGATGTTTCCCAACTGTTTTTTGCCAATCCGCTATTTATCAACTAGTTTTGATAAGCACTGAAAATATTTATTAAATAATTACGTTAATAAGTTTAATTTAAAATGCCTCAGCACATTTTTATTAATAGCTGAAGAGCTGTGTCATAATGCTTTGAAATAAATTTGGAATTTTTAAAATGGACGCCATAAACAAATATGATTCGGATGGCGTCATAGAATATTGCCCAGAGGATTTTATAGAATGTGAAATAGAGGAAGAAGTGCCTGTAATTAAAACGGAACATTCTAGGTTTGCTGAAACGTTTCAGTGTTCTAAATGTCCATATCAAGATAGCTCGTTGGATCAAGTACGTACTCATTACTATGTTGTACACGAAGGTTGGCCTTTGGTTACATTGGCACAAGAAGAAGAAGAAACTGATACAAATATTGTGTTTGTATGCAGTTTATGTTTTCGTCAGTACAGTTTAGAAGAGGATTTACGTGGACATATGATAGAATATCATAAATGTGTTCCTATTGAGGAAACTGATGGCAAAACTGTCGATGTGGCTGAGATAGTTGATAAGCAGATATCAGAGTTCAAAGAGTTGTTGGACACACATAAGACAATACCACAAATTGAACAGGAAGTGCGTCCAATGGCATTCAAAGATTTTCGCTTATTTTTACGTGTGAATTTGAAAATACGGTAATTTCGTATTTATTTTATGAAATGATATAATTTACTAATATAGTCGGTAATATTTTATTTGTGTTAATCATAAAATTTAATTAATTCTTATATTTTCTTTCAGTTGTACATTTACGACACCTTGTATGTTTAAATTTGAAAATTTGGCACGTTTAGAGACACATCTCAAGTGTCATGCAGATAACTTAAGCCAAAAATTCAAATGTTTGGAGTGCGGTCTAGAAATACTCAATTGGCGTCGTTGTTCCGCACATTTATGGAAAGTACATCAAATCGATGTTGACTTGTTACAATGTCCGTCATGCGAGTTTAGAGCACCTGCCTCCGGTAAGTTTAAAAACAACTAAATTATTAAATAAAGTTGATTTTAATATTAATTTGTATTTTTAAAAGTGCTTGTTTGGCGTCATATGCGTGTACACAGAAAGTGGCGTTCACGTGTGATTCGTTCATTGCGTGCAGTAAAAGAGAAGCGTTTGCAGAATGTTGAGAAATTGCCGGAAGTGAAACCAATTACACCGCCAAATAAAAACAAATATTATTCTGAAAAAATATGTGAAATTTGCAACAGAAAGTTTGTGAATGGAAAGACGCTATCAAAACACGTCAAAACAGTGCATAATAAAATAAAACCCTTTATTTGCAATGTATGCGGTAAGAAGACTGCAAGGAAAGCTAGTTTAATTGTAAGTTAGTTTAATTTAGTATTAGTTTTTGTATTTAATTATATATTAATTTAATAATGAGTTTATATACAGATTCATATGCGACAACACACAGGTGAAAAGCCACTGCAATGTAAAACTTGCAAATTTTCGTCACGCGATCCAAGCGTTTTGCATAAACATCAACTACGCCATGAAAAGGTATTTATTTTATTTAATAATGAGTTTTTAATTATCCATACAGAATTGAATTATATGTTAATACTGCTTATAAGCTTATATTTATATGAATATATACCTAAAGTAAATTAAATTCAATGTAATAAAATAGTTAACTTAAAGGTTATATAAAACTTGTAGTAGCAGTAAAAGGTTTTCTCTTACAAAAATAAGGTTTTTTGAGATTGTACAATTTGTTAAACTTATTAACTTAATTAAGCATTTTAAAACTAATATTAATTACTTACAGAGGACACTCAAAAGATCTAGCATTATTCAAATCAAGCTCCTTTAGAAAGCGTTAATTTTGCTTTACCAAAATTAACGCCAAAAACGCTAGATCAAAGTTTTAAAACTCTATTTAAAAGTTTATGGACAATGGTTTTGGAACTTATTTTAATCAAATTCTTTTGATGGTTTCAATCGCATTCCTAGATTTTATTTTATCAGAATGTTTCTTCTTTTCCTCGTCAATGATATAGAAATAAATTAAAATTAAATTGCACAAATTAATGTCTTTCTGCAAAATATCCATATGACCCATCTTTAGCAGTGTCTATACGTTGAAATTTGAAATCATGAAAAATGCTTAGGTGTTGATAATTTTTTAAAATCTCTAGATACCAGTAAATAACTACCTGCTATATCGGTCATAGACTACAAAATTATACTACTATGGACTACAAAGTTAGATTCCAAGAACGGTCGAGTCTACGTCCCGGAGCCACTCGTCACCTACGACGACCAAGTACCATTCAACACCTCCCAAAGGGACTCCACAAGCAGGTCTCAGCGGGTTAAAACAACAACAACAATTATTTTTATATGTGCCAACCATTACTTAATTTCTAACAACAATAGACTTAACTTCTAACAACATTTAGTCCGACTTAAAGCAATTTAAACATGTTATTTCAATTTATCGTAACGACCTGATAAAAATAAAAGCAGTATATTTCTAAATTAGTAATAGTTTAAGAATAGTTTATAGAGATCTCTCTATAGTTTTCTTCAATTTTTTAAGTTCTCTTCATATTCTTATTTTGCAATCTATATCTTATGTCAAAAAAAAATCAAATGTAAACAATCTGCAGATCAAAAGCATATTAAAAATAAATTGCTTTATCTTCAAATACCAATTTTTAGTCTTTGGATTTCCTTTTAAAAGAGCAACCAATATATATTAAAAAATTATTATAAAAAAGTAAAATAATTATTTCGCTAACACAATTATGAACTTCATATTTTATTATTTAGGTATCATACTTGCTCACGGTGTTGCAAATAGTGACTGCAATAAAGTAAAAAAATAATTAAAAATTAATACGATTAAATTAATATAAAGTATCTGAAATTCATATATTCAGATGTGTGAAATATAATTATGTATAAATTACAAATGCATTTTTACAATTTTTTTGCGACAGAATTGGAAGTTTCAAAGATAGATAATTTATAACATGAAATGCTTATATTTATATTATTATAATAATAATAGTTATATTAAGTTTATGAAATACTTTCACATAATATAAAATTACAATTAATAATATATATTATATTAATAACTTTCCATATATTACAGGTGGGCAAATTTAAATGCAATTTATGTGATTACTCCTGCATACAAACCAATTCTTATAAACGGCATATACGTACTAATCATCCTGAGGTTTATAAGAGAATTGCTTGCGATATTTGCAATTTTGTGACAATAACTGAACAAAAATTGCTTGCCCATAAGGAAGATCATAAAAAAGGCTTAATTGTAAATTACGAAGGTTAGAATATAAACGAAATTTTATAATTATATTAAAATTATTTAATAAAAAAAATTATTTCTTAAAGATTCAATGGACGCAACACGTAACAATTGCTTTAAAAATCCCGGAAAATTGCATGACAAAACTAATGAAGTAAGTGTGTATTTTATAATTCTTTTAAAGTGAAAAAATAATGTTTATGTTTATTCTGTTAACAAATTATATCAATTTATATTCAATACATATTATTTATTATACATATATCAATTATTAAAAAATTAATAATAATATATATATTATTAATTATATGTAAATTATTTATTATATATGAACTCTGTCAACCATTATTAGATCATATTAAGAGAACAAACAGCTATATAAAAATTGTTTTGAAGTTATCTGTTGGCACCTTTTATGAGTTTTAAATATTATCTTTTTAAATTAGTACTCTGGTATGCTTTTATGTGAGCCTCATTCTTTGTCTCTTTTTTTCTTGTCTCGATGGCAAATCTTAAATCTTATTTTTCAATAATTTAAATTTATTTATATGAACATAACAGTAACACTTATTTTTTGAAACAGCATTTCTGGTTGCTTCCATATTTGCTTCCATATTGAAACGAAAACGTTGATATAAATATACTATGTAGATAACTTTGATACGGTTTACTATAATATTATTCTTATTTG